CACTCATGTGCTTGCTCTGTCTCTCAAAAATAAATAAAATAAGGCCTTAGATGTGTTCAAAGTAACAAAGGCTTTTTAAATAATAAAAGCTGTTCTACTTTTGCTACAAAAAAAAGAAAACGAAACAAAACTGGAAATCACCTAACTGTCCAAGAACAGGGGAATAGTCAGGTAATTCAAAGGACGCCCGTACGACCGTTAACGCTACCATCACTGATGGTGTGCTAAAACTTCTGTCTACACAGGGGAGTGTTTTGAAAGCAAAGGCGGCTGGATGTCACTTAAATGCACACTCTGGCCTCAGTTGTGATTTGCACGCGGTAAACATTAAATAAATGCCTGAAGTGTGTGGGGAGACTTCCAGGCAGGGAGTTGGACGGATCTACTCCAGGCTGTCCGCAGACGTGACCATGCTCAGAGGTGACCATGCTGTGACCGCTGACGAGGTTAACAGGGCCTGAGGGGATGGTTCACAGTTCCCTGCACCCACTTCTGTATTGCATGAGCTGAGCTACTTTGGAAATTTTAAAAAGGCACGAAAAACTTGAAATACAGAGAGAAACGTGCCTGAAGGTTTAGGGACCGAGAGTATTACCGTCTGCAGCTTAACTTGGGAACTCATCAAAGATAAGGGAGACAGATTGACAGGTACCCTGTACAACAGAGTGTTAATTGCAGAATGGAGGTGGTGTATATGTGGGTGTTCACTGAACCGTTCTGTTAAGTCTTCTCTACGTTGCAATCTTCATACTGAAGTGTTGGGGAGAGGAAGACCGGAAGAACACGAGCATGTAAAACCACGGAAAAGGATGAATAAGTACAAAAAAAGTGCAAGTTGGTGTTCACAACTCAGTGTTTTGTCGTATATTCACAGGGTTGTGAAACCACCACGGCCATCTAATTCTAGAACGTTTTCATCACCCCCGAAAGGGAAACCTCGGACCCATTAAGCAGTTCCTGCCTGTTCTCCCCTCCCTCCCGCTTTCTTTATGGATCTGCCTGTTCTGGGTATTTCACATAAATGGAATCGCAACAGTGTGTGGCCCCTTCTGTGTCTGGCTTCTTTCACTCAGCGTGATGTCTCGTAGGTTCCGACATGCCGTGGCATGTCAACACTGCATTCCTTTCTGTGGCCAAAGAATAGTCCATTGTATGGCTGCGCCTCGGCTTGTTTTTGTATCCATCCGTTGATGGCTATCTGGGATGTTTCCATTTTTCGGCTGTCTCGAACATTGTTGATACAAACATTCGCATACACGTTTTCGAGGCTGTCTGGTAAATACCGAGGAGTGAGATTGCTGGGTCTTAGGGTCACTCTATATTTATCCTTTTGAGCTTCTGCCAGACTATTTTTTAAAGTCGCTGCAGTAGTGTGCCTTCCCACCAGGAGCGTATGATGGTTCCAGTTTCCCCACACCCTTGCCAACGCTTGCGATTGTCGGTCTTTTTGATGAGAGCCGAGCCGTCTTAGCGGATGTAAGGGTTGATTTGCATTTCCCTGATGGTGAATGACGTCGAGCGTCTTGTCATGTGCCTGTTGGTCATTTGTATATCTTCTTTGGAAAAATGTGTAGATCCTTTGTCCATTTCTTAGTTGGGTTATTACTGAGTTGTAAGAGTTCTTTTTACAGTGTGGATCCCAGTCCCTTATCAGATATGTGATTTGCAAGTATTTTCTCCCATTCTGGGAGTTGTCTTTTCAATTTCTCGATGGTGTCCTTTGAAGCACAAAAAAAATCTTAGTTTTGGTAGACTCCAATCTATTTCTCCTTCTGTCACTTGTGCTTTTTGTGTAATAGCTAAGAAATTGTTGCCTAGCCCGAGGTCATGGAGATTTAAGCCCAAGATTTCTTTTTTCTTTTTTTTTTTTTTTT